ATGATAGAAGGGATGGAAGATGATCAATGACTTGCGCAATGAGTTTGATTAAAGTGAGGAAGGGTTGCGCGTCGCCAACCTCACTCTCTCGTCCGCAACCATCTAGAACCAGTGCCAAGACAAATGTCAGGACGTCCGGAGATGGAGAAGATGCACTGGCTGACCAAGACGTGCTATATGTGCCTTGCCTTGCTCCAAACATTCCACGGTGCTTGCTGTGTCCGCCTTTTTCTCCGTTGAACCATGACGCTTTGTGTAGAGAGTGTTCTCTTAGAGGGATCTCCCTTAAGAGGGTACGTGTTTCCTCTACCCGGACTACTGGAGGGAAGGGGCGTCCGGCCATTGCAGGTCGTGAGACACTGCCCACTGCCATCAAATAAGTACATATTACATTACTTAAAAATTGAATTAAATTTCTGGTGAAATATCAAAAAATCAATATTTCACAAGTATACTTTAAAAATATTATACAAATCTACAACTTTTTAATCATTTTTGTTTAATAAAGATCAAGGTAGATTATCAAAATCTAATTTTTGATTTGAGTCTATATATTCTCGGTTTGTCTTATGTCCTGGTTACCTATAAATTATGCATGGAAATATGAAAACCCAAGCATCCATCAATCAAAATCGAGTAAGGGCAATGATCAAAGCTGGGTGAAATTTTACAAAAGTGGGCAAACTGCAAGGTCAATAGGTGAAGGAATATTTGCATGAAATATGGACAAAGTTAAAGTTTTTGCGTATACAAGGACTCTTTACTTTACGGTTACTTTAATGGCCAAGGTTAAAGTTCTGATTTTTTGGGGGGTTAAAATTGGTCAAACACCAAGATCAAAATCAGTAAATCAAATTTGGTGGTACCCAAAGAAAGGTCTTGTCACGAGGAATACTCCTCAAAGAAATAGAATGGAGTATGCTTGAGTAAAAGCATTTGGTACTGTAAGAAATTGGAATGAACCTACCCCAACCCTCATCCCCGAAACAGGATTCTCGACTTTGGACAGTTTTCCTTTTTTATGCCCCCGTAATCGAAGATTCGGGGTTATGAGATTTTGCTCCATTTGTCTGCAAAAACTTTAACCTTGCCCATAACTTTTGAATAGTGGGAGCTGTGGCTTTCATATTTCACATGTATATTTCTTGTAACATGACCTTCCTTTGGATACCACACTGATTCTCAAATTATAGTCTCAATTCGCTTTAAATAATGTACCGTGTTTTAAGTAATATAAAATTTCTAATAAATGTTATTTTCTGCCAGTCATATGAACCATTGTTGGTTGTTGATTAAAATACAACAATTGTTTGTTGTAACTTGAATGACTGTCTTTAGGCGAAAATCGCATTGACGTCGCGCACAATACAGGTGTTTTATTTTCACATACAGCATTGGAAAATTCATTTGTATGATTGTGCAGAGATAGTTTTGCTTGAAGATATGAAGTGTTATATATCAATGGAAAGGAAAATATATGAATAATGACAATATTACACTTAAAATATATTTTCAGACGTTTTTATTCGTAAAAATATAGCCAGATTTACGGCGATGTCGTCATTTTTCTGATGTCCCAGCGTTACATGAAATGTACATGCGCATCATTAAAAGATTGTTTAAATAATTAATCCTATGCCTAATGCCATAAAAATCGGCATATGAATGTGTCATTTGTATCCAAAAAGGATTTCATAAGTAATTTAAATACTCGGAGGACGAAATTGATTTATCGGCACAGGAAATGTCGTAAACATAGGTGTCCCGTTTTTTGTAGATCTAGAGGAATGAGACTAGAAGTCATAAGTACCAAGCCTAACCTATGAGTTAGTTGATTATTTCTGGTATAGTTATATTGTACATGTATCGCAGAACACAGGAAATATCAGTATAATATAATTCCGACAATATTCATTTAGCAGGATGATTTTTTCTGTGTCCAGTGAAATGTCCCATTCATAAAAATAAAGCGCCTGTGTAGCAATTGTATCATTTTATCTTAAAATTTCAAGCAATATACCAGCATGAATATCTTTAAAAAGTATAACCTACAAAAAGTACGTAAAGTTTACTTTAGACTATATATACAAAGTTTTATGTCATCCCGCAACAACTTTTATAAAGGAAGCGAATATACATGTCCAAAGAATTGTCCCAAGTCCGTTTGACGCGCCTTAACGTGACGTGACGTAATGTACATGGTTTCAGTACTCGTTAAGATTAGCCTAGTCCCCTAGCTCATCTTTGTTAATTCTAAAACAATATTATGAAACAGATTAAACCTAAGTTTTTTTTTTTACATTCTTTTCTGAGAATTCGAAAAATCATTTCAATTTGAAATCGGACTCCAGCATAGTGACATATATAGCCCACATATATGTTTCGAAAATTGACACTTAGTCGACATATATATATATATATATATATATATATATATATATATATATATATATATATATATATATAAAATTATTTAAATTACAAGTAAATGTACCAAAGACTCTATGCATTACAGTTACATGTATCCTGATACAATGTCAAACTCTAAGCATAGAAAAGACACTTCTATGAACGAAATGAATAATACATATATTTTAAATATAAGCAGTCAAATGAAATGTTTAATGTGTCTTTTATTATTATTAAATAGGCACAATGCTTTTGTGAATACGAAAAGCTTCAACGCAGTCTGTCCAGCGTCTACACATACCATATATACTCCATTCTTTACATGTCAATTATTAATATCTTAGGGCTAGCATCAACTTCACATAATGTAGTAAATAGTAGGGGTATCAATTTTACTCGAATAGCCTAGTAGTTTAAAATTTTAAAACCGGTCATTAGTCGAGCGATACACAGTAGTCGAGTATTCTGATCAGTACTTCCTTGACAGATTGCTTGTACACTAACTGTTTAAATCAAACTACAGTCACATATGTTGGAAATATCCAATAGATATATTTTGCTCTTCTTTATTAATACAAATTAAAATAATTTTTAATCGTTTTTATCGTTTTTTAAATAATGGTATCAATCATTAAACATTAGGACTTACCTTTTCTTTGCATTCAATAGTATTTTGATACCGTTTGGTATACACATTTTTTTTTTCAATTAAGACAGCTCTCACTTCCTTTAATTTTTATTGCTGAACAATCACCCCCCCCCCCCACCCCTTAATGTTATATCCAAGTTTCTGTCTAGAGAAAATTTGGAACCCACATATCTTCCTTGAGCACACACGTGTACACTTACGAGAAATGTTTTAGTAGTTTTGTCAACAACCGGTATACCGCTGAATGATGAGAGAATCGGTTAGCCAAACCATAGCTGCAGAACTGTAGCTCTCCGGAAAAAAAATATCGACACACCGAAGAGCTACAATGCCACCCATTGAAAATCTGTATAAATCTGTATAAAATCTGTATATTTATTGCGCACAAAAAAGTGCGCTAGTTTCTCAATTTATTTCTAAATGTTTTTAAACCGTCATCTCAAAATATTACTAGCCGTGTGTTCCTAACATATCCTTTCACTTTTCCCACAACAAAACAGTTCTTATTATTGGCCCTCCTGTCCCTGAAATTGAGATCATAGAGAGAACGATCAAAGGCAGTTATGCCTGCTGTTCAATTCATTTCTATGCATAAAATATGTGACCGCGACTGCGAAAAAGGGTCCAGATGCGGCACACGTCATAATGAGAAATCGGCGATAGTTCTGAACGTTTGCGTCACAATCAAAAAAAAAAATAACGCGTGAAAAAATTGCAATACACGTGCTTCTGAAAAAGTTTATCTCTGTCTTGTATTTTAAAGTATTAATTATGAAAATGAAAATGTTTGTTGTAATGTTTTGTAATATATTTTATTACGTTTTTTTTATTTTAATTTGAATTTACCGCGGGTTGTAAAGAGCAATAACTCTGTCCATAACAGCAGGCGTGTTTACATTTCCGGTTGAAAATAGATTGAAAGTGAAAGTCACAGTAAAGTTGTAAATTGGAAATGTAGGGAGTTCAAGCACTAAACATGAGCCAAACTTCCACAGCAACATCGATAAGTATACCATCAGAAATTGTTCTTTATCAAGATGATGAATTTTTAGAAGATATAGAGCGTGTGGATGAATTATATTTCTCTAAACTTGTTGCTCCAAAATCTAACGTGCGCGACAGACAGTTTTGTGATCTGTCAAGTGACAGTGAGACAGATACGAGTGATTTTGGTGATGTAAATTATGATTCTGACTCTGAAAGTGACAATGACAACTATGATGGGGATGTATATATACCGAATGAAGTCAATGACACCGACACGAAGGAATACATAATCCGTTCCAAATTTCAGAATGACACTTGCGGGTGTAAGGAGTTTTATGGAATGCCATGTAGCACGAAAATTGACTTTGATGCAGCATGTGAGTTCCGTGATCATTGTCTACAGTGTACTCGGGAGGAACTTGACACTTTACTTAAAGTTGAAATGTTTGCACATAGGCGATCTGGTTCTGTCACACAGTCCAAGAAACACAGAGAAAAAGAACGAGAAAGACCATTTCAGGAGTACTACTTCAATGGATGCAGAGTGTGTCGTACAACATTTTGTTTTGTACATGCTGTTGAAAGAAAAAAAACTCCATAAAGCTGCCAGATCTCTGGATACAGTAGGGTTTTTACCCAGAACGCATGGAAACTGTGGTAAGGCTCCGCATAATAGCTTAACAGTGACAGACAGGGACCATATCAAAACATTTCTTACGAAGTATGCAAGTGACCATGCCCTGCCTCTACCAGGCCGACTGCCAAATTACAAATCTGAGAAAGTGCTTCTACTTCCGTCGGATACGACAGCTGCTGACATTCATGCTAAGTATGAGATTCTAGCTGAAGAAATGAACTTCAGAAAAATACACTTAAGGACATTTCAAAGAACTTGGCATGAGTTGTGTCCATTCATTACAATCATGAAGCCATGCACTGATCTGTGTCAGCTTTGTCAGAATTTCTCTCATCAACTGTCGACAGTTTCTAATATGAATGATGAGGAAAAGGAAGAAATCCTTTCTACTTATACGCAGCACGTTTCCCAAGCTAAACAGCAAAGAGACTACTACAGACACCAGTGTACCACCAGCAAGGAAGTGTTCATTTCCTTACCAGAGGAATGTAAACAAACTGGTAAGTTAAAATTTTATTGCAAAATTAAATTTTTCCTTTTAGTGTATATATAGTTACAAGTATGGTATACTTTCCTTCATTAGCATTAAATGAACATTCTTGTACTATTATATGTGCTTGGATTTGGACTATATTATCAGCCTGGGTAGCTCAATGGGTAGAACACCTGACCAGGGTTCAAGGGTTCAATTCCAGTCATGCATTTTCTCCTCTTTTCCTTAGTACTATTAATAGGAAAACAGACATAACCAAAGTGTTTGCAAAAATGTCTTCTGTGAAATTGAATTTCTTTGTTCATGAAATATAAGTAAATACTATGAATAACTTTCAATGCATGCAAATGATCATGAATGATTAATTTTATTGTAGGAAATGCTCCATGCACAGTTGATGTGCAAATGCACTATTCCTGGGACTATGCACAACAAGTGCATTTTCCACATCATGCCCAACAAGTGGGACCAATATTTTTTAAGACGCCCCGGAAATGCAATGTGTTTGGTATATGTTGTGAGGGTTCAGGTATGTTAATTAATTCATTCGTCATTATATATTGCTTAGTTCTTCAAATCATTCAGAAATAACTGTACATGTAATTCTTATAAGAATTTTATTAATAAATTACCTTTTATATGGAGATCTAATATTTGACGAAATAGTAAAATCTAAAATATATATATGTATTAAAGGAGGATACTCTTTCAAATATAGAATAATACATGTATGGGACTGAGTCTGAATAAACCAATTTTAGTTATTATGAATTCTATTAAATATAGTTGCAGCAAAATATTAACACATTCTGTTTTTGTCATAATGCATACATATAAGGTAAATAAACAAGTCAATGGTTGAGTTACCGTATTAAGTTCTGATCAAAATTTTTGTTTTTACTTAAATTGCAGGAAAACGAGTGTTCTACTTGACTGACGAGGCTGAGAACACAGGAAAGGGTGCTAATTCTGTCATTAGTATGGTTCACCACTTTTTTCAATACCATGGATATGGAAAAAAAACAGCATCCATTCATTTTGACAACTGCAGTGGGCAAAACAAAAACAACTTTGTCTTTATAATGGTATGCTCTCTGGAGAGTTCTTGTAGGTAAGTGTACATCATAATGAAAAATATTTGATATTTGATTATTAAAATTTGTAAAAGCATTGTTTGATATTCAGTATGTTCATGATGTTCAATGCCCAAAGTGTTACATACATGTATGATATCAGTTTTGATAGTCAAGAAATGTGAACTCTTAGTAAATTTAGCATTTGTATTTAAATTAAGGAGTGTATTTCTTTTCAATCAGAACTCCATGTTATTGTGGAATATTCTTATGATGGTGGCAGGACACACTAAATTGACTGACTGGCATTTTGGAGTCTGGAAAAGTAAATTAGGTTTATTACAGCAGAAACCATGAATGATATAGCAGACACAGTCCTATTCATCCCGCAGAGGCCATAACATTCCTCTAGCCGTGTCAGATCCACAAACACCTGTGCAGTTTAGGAACTGGAAGTCGTACCTTGAACAGTTCTTCAAACCCTTGAAAAACATTAGGTGCTATCATCATTTCCGAGTAAGTGCTGAGACCTCCTGGTGTTGTTGAATGTAAGGAGCTCTGTAATTCTGTTCCTTTGTGTGTTAATCTCCTGAAAGATCAGAATATCCTTCCCTCCTTAGATGATCCTCTGCCTCAAGAAATCCCAGCACCCGGTCTTGAGCCCAAGAAGCAATGGTACCTATATGAGGAAATCTGTGAACATTGTCTATCACTCTCCGCTAAAGACACATCCTGTCCAAAACCAGTCGTACCAAAGAAAGAGGTGAAAGTTTATTCTCCTGATCATTCCACATCACACTTGAGGAAAAGGAAGAATCTTCTCCTTAGATGAAGGGGAATATTATTGAGTGTAAGAAAGATTAGAAGTTAAATGTATACATGTAGTTCCTGTTGTATTACTCCCAGTAATGTGTTACATTGATGTACTTTTCTGTCCATTGAATTTCATTGCTTTAAAACATTTGTTGGAATTGATACGTTTACGCAACTGTTTACATAAGCTGTGTCCATGAGTAGTGTTACCTCTCAACAGTTAAAAAAATGTGTAACAGTATGAAAATTGTTAACTGATGTTTTCACCTTCTCTGCGACATTTTCCTTTAAATGTACTTTTGATATATATTTCGTACAACCATGCAAAAATATTACAATTTTATTATTTGAAAGCTTTGTCAAAAATGATTAACGACACATTTTTAATTTTCAAAAGATACCATTTTCACACTGCCCCAAAAAATTTAATTGTTATACTCTTTATACTGAATACTGTTGATAATGTTAAGAAAGTACAGATGCATACATCTGTAATATAAGAGTACATTTTATCCATAATTTGTATGTTTGCAATATTCAGAGTGTCTGTTTTAAAAATAGTTACCTGCTATTCATATTTTTGTGATTTTGCTTACAGCTGTAAAATAATTTTACCTCTGTCATTCTGTAATTTATGTGATTTCTGGTGTATTTTGTCATAACTACCAATAATAACTTTTTTTGTTATTTTGGAATGTAATTTCAAATTGCATATCTTGATAATAATTATTGTGCATTTCTCATGTTTCTAGAGTTTATTTTATTGAAAATAAATGGTTGGATTATTTTGTTCATTATGCATCTTTTCTTCCCTTTCTCTTTTTGGTCATCGATGCTGGTAGGATAATAAGTCAATCTTCTGAATCAAGTTCAGTTGTTTCAACAGCCATATGTAATAAGTAACAGTCATATGTAATAAGTAAGAAAAACAGTATATTTAATGATTCAGTTTATTTTCATCATATCTAAGCAAAATTTTAAGAAGAGTTTAAAGAAAAAGAGAGATTGTTTTTAATATACCTGTAGACTGAAAGTGTTCAGATTTGTTTTCTAATTACGACGTTATGGTAACGTCACTGACGTTACGATATGACTTGAAGATGCCTGCATACCTTGGCCTGTATCTTCTCTATTTTTCATGATATTTGCATGAAATTTTGAATTTGTGTCATTCAAATTGTCCTGATTTAAAAAAGACAATAAAATTAATTTCGATTTTTTACTCATCTGGACCCTTTTTCCCAGTCGCGGTCACATATATTTTAAACTAAAAAAATTGAGATAATCGAAAAATTCGTCTATTTATACTGAAATGTTGGTTTGCAAGATAATTCGGTCCAATGCGTTTCGTACGTATGGAAACTACGCAATAATTGATAGAGGGGTAAGAACTTTTTTGAAATCTAGTTTTTTGTAATTGAGGTAAGAATTTGGAAAAATTAATCCAAAACCGAGTGCATTTTTTTGTGCGCAATAAATATAGTTTTTTCTATGGATGGCACTGTAGCTCTCCGGTCTGTCAATATATATTTTTTCGGAGAGCTACAGTTTTGCAGCTAGCCAAACCACTACTCAGTATACCCGTATAAGTAGAATTTTTAGCAATGTTAGCATAATTAGCGAGGGTGTTGAGATCGGTAAAATTGAATATGGCCAACAATCAATTGCGTATTTTTAAAAATCGTGCATTTAAAAATCGCTGAAATAACTTTTCGCTAAAAATGTACACCTCTTTAAAGCGTCTCGCTAAAATTTTCACTTTTACTAACGACATAAATAGAAAATACAATATTATTTTAGGCCTATCGATGAAACCCAAAACGTTACTTACTTTAAATACCGTCTAGATCTAGCTTTTTATATATATATAATTATTCTTGCGCATATTTAGATAGCTATATGTTTAGCTCATGTAATTAATACCTTTGATTGCCCGTGAGTGTGTACGTTTTTAATGAATTAATAATTTACTCTTTAATTACCTGATTAGAAATCATAATCTTTTATAACATATTTTGATAGAAAAGCCGTTTTCAAATTCGTATATTTTAAATAGAATTCAAATTATGTATTATGGAAAGGTCAGCAAACTCGCTTTTACATGTTTTTTTTCTTGAACATATATAAACTGCCCACATTCGAGCCATTCTTAAAACATATTTAGAGGATGTGCGTTGATGATTGAAAATAAGGTTCATTTGTAAAACGTATGTTTGTTTTAAATATATATCTGTACAATGAATATAAAAGACTAGATAAATATAGAAAAAGGATGAGTCTGCAAGGAAGATAAAAGGTTAAATAATGAAGTAAAACAGAGATCTGGAGTATCATTTAATATGTCTCATTAGCAAGG